CGTTACTGAGGACAAGTATTAATACGCACCATCTGTACTCGGCGTTACTAAGGACAAGTATTAATACGCACCATCTTTACTCGGCATTACTAAGGACAAGTATTAATACGCACCATCTGTACTCGGCGTTACTAGGGACAAGTATTAATACGCACCATCTGTACTCGGCGTTACTAGGGACAAGTATTAATACGCACCATCTGTACTCGGCGTTACTAAGGACAAGTATTAATACGCACCATCTGTACTCGGCGTTACTAAGGACAAGTATTAATACGCACCATCTTTACTCGGCATTACTGAGGACAAGTATTAATACGCACCATCTGTACTCGGCGTTACTGAGGACAAGTATTAATACGCACCATCTGTACTCGGCGTTACTGAGGAGAAGTATTAATACGCACCATCTGTACTCGGCGTTACTGAGGAGAAGTATTAATACGCACCATCTGTACTCGGCGTTACTAAGGACAAGTATTAATACGCACCATCTGTACTCGGCGTTACTAAGGACAAGTATTAATACGCACCATCTGTACTCGGCGTTACTGAGGAGAAGTATTAATACGCACCATCTGTACTCGGCGTTACTAAGGACAAGTATTAATACGCACCATCTGTACTCGGCGTTACTAAGGACAAGTATTAATACGCACCATCTGTACTCGGCGTTACTAAGGACAAGTATTAATACGCACCATGTTTACTCAGCGTTACTAAGGACAAGTATTAATACGCACCATCTGTACTCGGCGTTACTGAGGACAAGTATTAATACGCACCATCTGTACTCGGCGTTACTGAGGACAAGTATTAATACGCACCATCTGTACTCGGCGTTACTGAGGACAAGTATTAATACGCACCATCTGTACTCGGCGTTACTGAGGACAAGTATTAATACGCACCATCTGTACTCGGCGTTACTAAGGACAAGTATTAATACGCACCATCTGTACTCAGCGTTACTGAGGACAAGTATTAATACGCACCATCTGTACTCGGCGTTACTAAGGACAAGTATTAATACGCACCATCTGTACTCAGCGTTACTGAGGACAAGTATTAATACGCACCATCAGCACTCAGCGTTACTGAGGACAAGTATTAATACGCACCATCTGCAGTCAGCGTTTATATCATTATTTTATAGTGTAAAGTTAGGATCACAGTGTTAAAACTCTACAGCTCTGAGTGTATGTGCTCCTTTCTGTATCTAACTGCCCAGGCACGTGTGTGTGTGAGCAAGTTTGTGTGCTTTGGGAGAAAAGGGAGGGAGCATCAAAAATACCTTGCAAAGGAAAATGTAGAAGCAGATTTTGTATTACAAAACATACATCAATATAGTCCATCACAGTAAGAATGTCCTGTTTCTAGCACAGAGCACAAAAACACCAGTTTATTCCACAAAAGTCAGGTTATGGAAGAAATGGCATGATCAAGCAGAGTGCATGCAGAGGACACAGAGAGGAGGAGCAGGCAGTCAGGGACTTTCCAAGACTCAGGTGCAGTAGGAAAGAGCCAAGAGATGATGTGAATCCAAGAAACAGAGCTATAAAAGGAAGTCCAAAAGGAGGTGAAATTCAGTCGTTACATGTATTAGTACGCACCATCAGCACTCGGCGTTACTGAGGACAAGTATTAGTACGCACCATCAGCACTCGGCGTTACTGAGGACAAGTATTAGTACGTACCAACTTTACTCAGCGTTACTGAGGGCAAGTATTAATACACACCATCTGTACTCAGCATTCCTGAGGACAAGGATTAATACACACCATCTGTACTCGGCGTTACTAAGGACAAGTATTAATACGCACCATCTGTACTCAGCGTTACTGAGGACAAGTATTACTACACACCATTTGTACTCAGCATTACTGAGTAGTATTAATACACACCATCTGTACTCGGCGTTACTGAGGACAAGTATTAATACACACCATCTGTACTCGGCGTTACTGAGGACAAGTATTAATACGCACCATCTGTACTCGGCGTTACTGAGGACAAGTATTAATACGCACCATCAGCACTCGGCGTTACTGAGGACAAGTATTACTACACACCATCAGCACTCGGCGTTACTGAGGACAAGTATTACTACTCACCATCAGCACTCGGCGTTACTGAGGACAAGTATTACTACGCACCATCAGCACTCGGCGTTACTGAGGACAAGTATTAATACGCACCATCAGCACTCGGCGTTACTGAGGACAAGTATTAATACGCACCATCAGCACTCGGCGTTACTGAGGACCAGTATTAATACACGCAAATTTTACTCAGCGTTACTGAGGACAAGTATTACTACACACCATCAGCACTCGGCGTTACTGAGGACAAGTATTACTACTCACCATCAGCACTCGGCGTTACTGAGGACAAGTATTACTACGCACCATCAGCACTCGGCGTTACTGAGGACAAGTATTAATACGCACCATCAGCACTCGGCGTTACTGAGGACAAGTATTAATACGCACCATCAGCATTCGGCGTTACTGAGGACCAGTATTAATACACGCAAATTTTACTCAGCGTTACTGAGGACAAGTATTACTACACACCATCAGCACTCGGCGTTACTGAGGACAAGTATTACTACACACCATCAGCACTCGGCGTTACTGAGGACAAGTATTAATACGCACCATCAGCACTCGGCGTTACTGAGGACAAGTATTAATACGCACCATCAGCATTCGGCGTTACTGAGGACAAGTATTAATACACGCAAATTTTACTCAGCATTACTGAGGACAAGTATTACTACACACCATCAGCACTCGGCGTTACTGAGGACAAGTATTACTACACACCATCAGCACTCGGCGTTACTGAGGACAAGTATTACTACGCACCATCAGCACTCGGCGTTACTGAGGACAAGTAATACGCACCATCAGCACTCGGCGTTACTGAGGACAAGTATTAATACACGCAAACTTTACTCAGCGTTACTGAGGACAAGTATTAATACGCACCATCAGCACTCGGCGTTACTGAGGACAAGTATTACTACACACCATCAGCACTCGGCGTTACTGAGGACAAGTATTACTACTCACCATCAGCACTCGGCGTTACTGAGGACAAGTATTACTACGCACCATCAGCACTCGGCGTTACTGAGGACAAGTATTAATACGCACCATCAGCACTCGGCGTTACTGAGGACAAGTATTAATACGCACCATCAGCACTCGGCGTTACTGAGGACCAGTATTAATACACGCAAATTTTACTCAGCGTTACTGAGGACAAGTATTACTACACACCATCAGCACTCGGCGTTACTGAGGACAAGTATTACTACTCACCATCAGCACTCGGCGTTACTGAGGACAAGTATTACTACGCACCATCAGCACTCGGCGTTACTGAGGACAAGTATTAATACGCACCATCAGCACTCGGCGTTACTGAGGACAAGTATTAATACGCACCATCAGCATTCGGCGTTACTGAGGACCAGTATTAATACACGCAAATTTTACTCAGCGTTACTGAGGACAAGTATTACTACACACCATCAGCACTCGGCGTTACTGAGGACAAGTATTACTACACACCATCAGCACTCGGCGTTACTGAGGACAAGTATTAATACGCACCATCAGCACTCGGCGTTACTGAGGACAAGTATTAATACGCACCATCAGCATTCGGCGTTACTGAGGACAAGTATTAATACACGCAAATTTTACTCAGCATTACTGAGGACAAGTATTACTACACACCATCAGCACTCGGCGTTACTGAGGACAAGTATTACTACACACCATCAGCACTCGGCGTTACTGAGGACAAGTATTACTACGCACCATCAGCACTCGGCGTTACTGAGGACAAGTAATACGCACCATCAGCACTCGGCGTTACTGAGGACAAGTATTAATACACGCAAACTTTACTCAGCGTTACTGAGGACAAGTATTAATACGCACCATCAGCACTCGGCGTTACTGAGGACAAGTATTAATACACGCAAATTTTACTCAGCGTTACTGAGGACAAGTATTACTACACACCATCAGCACTCGGCGTTACTGAGGACAAGTATTACTACACACCATCAGCACTCGGCGTTACTGAGGACAAGTATTACTACGCACCATCAGCACTCGGCGTTACTGAGGACAAGTAATACGCACCATCAGCACTCGGCGTTACTGAGGACAAGTATTAATACACGCAAACTTTACTCAGCGTTACTGAGGACAAGTATTAATACGCACCATCAGCACTCGGCGTTACTGAGGACCAGTATTAATACACGCAAATTTTACTCAGCGTTACTGAGGACAAGTATTACTACACACCATCAGCACTCGGCGTTACTGAGGACAAGTATTACTACGCACCATCAGCACTCGGCGTTACTGAGGACAAGTATTAATACGCACCATCAGCATTCGGCGTTACTGAGGACAAGTATTAATACACACCATCAGCACTCGGCGTTACTGAGGACAAGTATTACTACACACCATCAGCACTCGGCGTTACTGAGGACAAGTATTAATACGCACCATCAGCACTCGGCGTTACTGAGGACAAGTATTAATACACGCAAACTTTACTCAGCGTTACTGAGGACAAGTATTACTAAACACCATTTGCAATCAGCATTGCTGAGTAGTATTAATACGCACCATCATCACTCGGCGTTACTGAGGACCGTTGTGAAAAAACGCCTGCGCGGCCGAACACATCACTTTTATGCCAACGTGCCTCCAATTAGGTTAAGACCAAGTCAGCTAACCAACATCTGATCCAGCGTCTTAGTTTAACTCCAGTGTAGCGGGCGGAGTTTGTTCCCCTCAGTTCACTCTAGGCTGAACCCCACTCGTTGTCCAGGCCTCTGGTCTTTATTGAAAGCGCTCTGAGGTAACGGCTGTTATATAAATAAAATTTAACTTTAATGCACCAAAAATATAGATCCAAAAATAAATGTTTCTGCAGCCTTAATAAGATCATCAAGACTCAAATACAGAAAACAACTTTTAATTTGAAATTACAAACAGGCTTCCTGTTCAGGTATTTACAGCTGCAAAAACATAACATCTTTATAAAAAACAACAAACAGTCCTCTTTTTTTCTGCGTCCGTGCAGTCCATTGTTATTAGACTCCCAGAATGCTTTGCGTTCAGACAGGTGTCACGTGGGTAGAGTCCATTTCCTGTTCACCTGCTGATATGGCATCCTTACTGACACGTCGCTGTCCTTCTGTTTCTTCTTCTTCGCACTTTCGACCTGCAGGACATGACAGCTCGTTACTCATTGTACAACTCTGACGATCGATAAAGTTTCTTATCGTTCATTTAATCTGCCAACAACAACGACATCGATACTTAAAGGTCAGCTGTGATTGGCTGACAACCCGGTTCATAGGATCGTGTACCGGGGTGCTCAGAGACCGGCGTGTTGGTCGCTGCATGACGAGGGAACGCTGAACTCAAAGTTAACTCACCTCTGTCGTAGGCTCCGTCCCCTCCTCTTCAGGCTCCGTGGCTGCACCGCCAGGCCCCGCCTCCTCCAGTTTTGCCCTCTTCTCTTTCTTCACGTCCTCTGCAGACGGCGTGCCGGGCGTCACAGCTTCGCCGTCGCTCTCTGCCGCCTCCCGCTTCCTCTGCAGAGCACAAAGGTCAAATACTCGTCAGCCAACACAAAGTCAGAAAAAAACGCCATCAGAAAAGGTGGTCGCTGTGACAAAGTGCTCTCACAGCGGCGTTCTGCCCGCCCCCTCATGAAGGTGAGCCCCCTCAGGTGTGGGAGGGCCCACCTCTGACTAGAGCACCAATTTAAACATTAGGTGTAAATTAAACTGTCAGCAGCCCTGAAGGTTCACAGATTCAGCCAATCAGGAGCCTCTGTGGATATTTATGTCAGCTTTATTTTCACATCGAGCCCGTGTGAAGCTCCTGGGGAAGAAACGCTTCTGATTGGTCGTCTGACCAGGTGAGTTTACCTTTGCTGAAGCAATCACTCACATGACTCCTCCGTCACCTTGGAGACCCTTTCAATGAAAGAAACAAGATTTTAAATTGGTACACACCATCAGCACTCGGCGTTACTGAGGACAAGTATTAATACTCGGCGTTACTGAGGACAAGTATTAATACGCACCATCAGCACTCTGCGTTACTGAGGACAAATATTAATACAAAGCATCTGTACTCAGCGTTATTAAGAAAAATGTATTAGTACACACCATCAGTACTCTGCGTTACTGAGGACAAGTATTAATACAAAGCATCTGTACTCAGCGTTATTAAGAAAATGTATTCGTACACACCATCAGTACTCTGCGTTACTGAGGACAAGTATTAATACACACCATCTGCAGTCAGCGTTTATATCATTATTTTATAGTGTAAAGTTAGGATCACAGTGTTAAAACTCTACAGCTCTGAGTGTAGTTGCTCCTTTCTGTATCTAACTGCCCAGGCACGTGTGTGTGAGCAAGTTTGTGTGCTTTGGGAGAAAAGGGAGGGAGCATCAAAAATACCTTGCAAAGGAAAATGTAGAAGCAGATTTTGTATTACAAAACATACATCAATATAGTCCATCACAGTAAGAATGTCCTGTTTCTAGCACAGAGCACAAAAAACACCAGTTTATTCCACAAAAGTCAGGTTATGGAAGAAATGGCATGATCAAGCAGAGTGCATGCAGAGGACACAGAGAGGAGGAGCAGGCAGTCAGGGACTTTCCAAGACTCAGGTGCAGTAGGAAAGAGCCAAGAGATGATGTGAATCCAAGAAACAGAGCAATAAAAGGAGGTCCAAAAGGAGGCGAAATTCAGTCGTTACATGTATTAGTACGCACCATCAGCACTCGGCGTTACTGAGGACAAGTATTAATACGCACCATCAGCACTCTGCGTTACTGAGGACAAGTATTAATACGCACCATCAGCACTCGGCATTACTGAGGACAAATATTACTACGCACCATCTGTACTCAGCGTTATTAAGAAAAATGTATTAGTACGCACCATCAGCACTCGGCGTTACTGACGACAAGTATTAATACACGCAATCTTTACTCGGCGTTACTAAGGACAAGTATTAATACACGCCATCTGTACTCAGCGTTACTGAGGACCTTTGTGAAAAAACGCCTGCGCGGCCGAACACATCACTTTTATGCCAACGCGCCTCCAATTAGGTTAAGACTAAGTCAGCTAACCAACATCTGATCCAGCATCCTAGTTTAACACCAGTGTAGCGGGCGGAGTTTGTTCCCCTCAGTTCACGCTCTGGATCTGAGGTCAACAGGAAGTGATGCCGACCTTCTCTCCCATGACTCCAGACCAGACTCGCCTCAGTTCCTGCATCTGACCTCCGACCCCAGGACCAGACCCAGGTGAACACACAGAGTCCGGATGCAAAGTTCCCACCTCACAGCTCACCCAGAAGATGCCTGCAACACAGAATCACGTGACCTCTGACATCACCGTGACGTCACTGATGAACCTAATCAATAGTCGTTAGATACGTGACTGCCGATCAGTGATCTTACCCAGCCTCCTCTCGGGGTCGTATTCGATCAGTTTGCTCTCGTAGATCGTTCGGACTCTCAGCTGACGTTTCACGGCGGCGATAAGCAGCAGTCGCTGGAACAGAGCGTCAGTGTCTGCAGGGCCTGCAGAGCTTAGAGGGTTACATGACAGCCAGCCAATCAGAGCAGAACAATCAAGAAAATATCCAATCAGGAAGTGGTCAGACTTACCCGAGCCAGTGCGTGTTCGCTCTGTATCGCATTGTGCAGCCGAACGATTCCCACATACTCTTTACCTGCAACAAACACAGAGTAGTGAGGGGGCTGCTGGGCTTCAGTGTGCTCACATACCACATGGAGACGTTTCTTAGTCTACAGAAACAGGAAGTGGTCACTGTACCGGCACTTTGCTGGGACTTGACCAGTCGCGTGGCTCGATCCAAGCAGACGATCAGAAACCCGGTGACCTTCGGGTCGAGCGTCCCAGTACCCATAGGATCCTCCTGATCCACGCCACAACCTCGTGAGACGACAGGTTCGCCGGTTTGTCCAGGTTGATGAACCCCGTCCTGACAGGAAGCAGAATAAACATCTATTCAAGCATTATTAGCTTAGCATTAGCTGAAGGTTACCAGACAGTGCTGTTTGCATGTTAACTTAGCATCACTCGGTTACCTGACATAGTCATGGATGTTCCTCTTCAGAGGGTTGCTACCAAGCGGCAGGGGTGTGTAATGAGCTGTCCGGATGTTCAGTTTATCAAAATTCTGCAGGAAACAAAATGAAAGTTATCAGATTTCACTTTCTGTATGAAGACAGGAAAACACATAGCCAGGCTCTTATTTTGGTAGCGCCGTCAGTTTCGTGCTCTGAAACTGATGCGTCCCGTGTTTGATATTTTATCTGCTTGTTGTTCCAAAGTGATAAATTTTTCGTATTTTAAACTAATCTGCTATAAGTCTTAGCACAATGTGATCAGTACAGGAAGTCGTCTTGGTGGCACTCGCGTCGAGTCATGCTCTCTGTGCAGTTTCGGTCATCGCCAGGCAGAACGCCGAGACGACGTCGGCACCGCGGTGGAGAGGCCCCCAGAACGGGGGCAGAGGCGGAGACCGCGACAAGATGGCCGCTCAGAGAATGAATAAACTGGTTCATCACTTCACACGCTAAAGACTAAACTTCAGGTTTTGATGTTTGTCCCCTTCAGGGAGCCGTAGTCTCACCTTCAGTAAGTAGTAGTAGTTCATTGCGACGTGTCCAGCGAGGCGGCTCTGGCCTCTGGTTTGATGAAGTCTCCGCTCTGCTGGATCTCCTGTTGCACAAACACACGGCGTCACCTGTGAACAAATGCACCTGAAGCTCAGCCAGGTGAACTCCGACTCACCCCCACTTCCTCCTCGCTGACCGCCTTCGTCTCCTTCACTGATGCTGCAAACACACGAGCAAACACATTCGGTCATCAAACCTGCAGTCAGGTCCAGACCCCCCCCCACAGAACAAGCAGCTCTGGGTAACCATGACTACATTTCTCACCATTTAATGAAAATCCTGCTTCACCTCATGATGCATTTATACTTCTACAAGTACTTTAACATGCAGTACTTTTACTTTCAGTGTACTTTAACAGTGAGGCCGCCAGGAAGCACGCGGTCCCACATTAACAGACTCGTGACACTTGGACCTCCTGAGAGAGCGGGGGAGGTGCACGAACCGAGACGAACTAACGCACACAGGGTTCAGATTAAGAACTTGGGTAACACGGATCCGGACAAAGTTCGGTAACTTTAAACCGGATATTACATCAAGAACTGCGCGCGACGGAAACTAAAAACCAGTAGTACGAGACGCGGTGCACTAAAGCCGGAACCAGATGCACTAAAACAAGGTCCACTCTAGAACCAGGTAAAGATTTCAGATGTTTGCAGAGAAACGTGGACTCACCTCCTTCTGTGTCCGCCATCTTCAACTGAGCGTCTGTGCGCACAGCGCGGCTTCTTCTTCTTCTTTTTGTAAGATTCCGGCAGTGTAGACGCTTATGAGCGTATTACTGCCCTCCACAGGTCAAAGTTTGAACTAAATTCTTACATACAATCCTGTGTCATGCAAGAATTGAAGGACTGCCTTGAGATCAGTTTATGCTTGTCACTGTGCCCAAACAAAGAGAAAACAGAAAAAGCCTTAACTCCAAGTCCTGACAGTTTATTAAAGAGTACATTTCTTTCTGCCCTATACTTTCTGCATTCCAGGAAAACATGCCCTATTGTCTCAAGACTCCCACATTCACACAAGCCAGAAACATGCTTCCCCACAATGCACAAAGAATAATTTAATCCACAGTGCCCCAACTCAACCTGCACATTTTAACCATGCGGGACAAAATGTTACATAAACATCTCTTCCTAACTTTGGGTTGTATAGAAAAGTAGTGTCTGCCTCTCTGCCAGTTTTTTATTAAGCCTCTTTAATTTTTTCTGTCAATTCCACTCTCCTAATAATACATGGACATCTACTTCTCTTCCTAAGCTCTCTTTTGCAATATTATCCACCCGTTCATTCCCCCTCACCCCAACGTGCCCGGGAACCCAGAGTTTTTTTGGAAGCGAAAGTAACCGGTAAAGACTTCAAATAGTAGCCCATGTACCATGTAATTAGAAAGGTGATTTTAGACTAAAACTAAACTAAAACAACGTTTTTTTAGTAAAATTAAGTAGCACTGGGTGTGAAAAAAACACTTCAGTTAAGTGAAATAAAAACAATAACTGATAAAATAATAACTGTTAGGCTGTGAAATGAGGTTTGCAATTAATTTAAGTCCAAATCTTTTATTCTGTCCCAACGGGGGAGTTCACCGTGTCACAGCAGCAAGGGAGAAACAAACGAGCAATAGATATCATGAGATATTATCACTGTGTCCAGCAGCAGAATGTGTTATTGAAATGTTTGCCGTGTGTTTCAGGCTGAGTGAGGACATGTGTCGCAGACTTCGGCCTCTCCAATAAGATCTACAGCGGAGATTACTACAGACAGGGCTCGGTCTCCAAGTTGCCGGTGAAGTGGATCGCTCTGGAGAGTCTCGCTGTCAACGTGTACACCACACAGAGCGTGGAGAACTCTGAGATCTACGAGTACCTGATCAAAGGAGAGTGACTGATGAAACCTCCGGACGACATGTGAGTCTAACAATTGGGCTAACGCCTCCCTCAGCTCCGCCTGCCAGGTTCCTCCCTGGTGACCCACCGTCACACCGATCTAAAGTTTTAGCGAGCGCCTAAGGACAAAAAAACAGCTCCAAAATGATCATAATTGGGGGGGAAAGCGTAAGAAAAGCTCTCCCAATTCATTTTAATAGCCATTTATCAAGCAGAAACAAACTTAAATACGACATCGTTGCCTTCCAGCAGCCTCCTCCTCTCCTCTCACGGCGCTGCATCCTAATTAGTTACATATGTTTAACAGAAATCTGCCAGGGGCCGCCCCAGGTTTTCTGTCTCCGTCATGTGGTCCAGCTCTGGTTTGTCTTGTGCAAAACAAGTCTCTTGTTTTGAAGGAGCAGTTTCCTGTGCAGCACAAACCAACTGCAGGTATAAACCTGCTTTTATCCAAAGCGACTTACAATGTCTACACGTGTCAGAGGTCGCACG